AGCTGGGATTACAGGCACGCGCCACCATGCCCAGCTAATTTTTTGTATTTTTAGTAGAGACGGGGTTTCACCATGTTGACCAGGATGGTCTCGATCTCTTGACCTCGTGATCCACCCGCCTCGGCCTCCCAAAGTGCTGGGATTACAGGCTTGAGCCACCACGCCCGGCTGCTTTTTTTTTTTTTTTTGAGATGGAGTCTCGCTCTTTCACCCAGGCTGGAGGGCTATGGCATGATCTTGGCTCACTGCAACCTCCATGCTCCGTGTTGTTCAGGTGATTCTCCTGCCTCAGTCTGCCAAGTAGCTGGGATTACAGGCATGTGCCACCATGCCCATTTTGTATTTTCAGTAGAGACGGGGTTTCACCAGGTTGTCCAGGCTGGCCCTGAACTCCTGTCCTCAGGTGATCCACCCACCTTGGCCTCCCAAAGTGCTGGGATTACAGGTGTGAGTCACTGCGCCCAGCCATTAAAAGTATTTTTAATTAATTGGGCCAGATTTTAAGACAAAGATGCCACATTCAAAATAGAGTATGTTTTCCTATATTATGGTTTGCCTTCTTATAAATCCAAGTAGATAGGAGGAAAGAAGACACTTAAACTTTGCATTTCAGTATGAATTATTAAATTGAGTTGAATGATTTTCTTTACAAAACCCAAACTCATTCATTAGTCGTGTTTATCTGCTTAGCAGTTTTGGGAACAATTTGGCAATTTTGTGGTTTTTGAGATTATCATTTTCTTAAAGTGCCAGTATTTTAAAATAGCATTCTTGTAATTTTACACGCTTTCATGGTGCAGTGCTGTTTTGTTATATAATTTTGACTTGGATTCTTTCCATTTGTATTTGTTTATGTAATTTCAGGAGGAATACTGAACATCTGAGTCCTGGATAATACTAATAAACTAATAATTGCAAAGGATTTTTTTTTTAAATCAAAACAAAACGAAAAAAGGAAGGGCTTATCTTCAGAGTTGTCTATTGCTTACACCCAGTGGACCATTTTTGCATTCTTTCATTAGTGACTTCCAAGAGCCATCACTGCCATAAAAGCAAGTCAAGATCTCCAGGAAGAGAAAATAATCAATAATCATGGCTGACTTATGCAGTTAATAATTTTTGCTAGATAAATCCTAGTTTAAAGATAAATATTTTAAGAATATTTGTATGAAATCTAAATATTAAAAAATTTGAAAAGTGATGAAAGCAAATATGAGTGAATATATAATCACAGGGTAGAAAAGATTTCTGTAAGCATGAGGCTAAGGGCAAGCACTCTAAAATACTAAGCTGAGTACATCAAAATGAGAAAAAATAACCCTTTTTTCTTCTGAGATGGAGTTTCACTCTGTTGCCCAGGCAGTGTCCAGTGGCATGATCTTGGCTCACTGCAACCTCCATCTCCCAGGTTCAAGCAATTCTCCTGCCTCAGCCTCCCAAGTAGCTGGGGTTACAGGGGCCTGCCACCACGCCTGGCTGATTTTTGTATTATTATCAGAGACAGGTTTTCGCCATGTTGGCCAGGCTACTTGTGTATTCCTGACCTCAAATGATCCACTCACCTCAGCCTCCCAAAGTGCTGGGATTACAGGTGAAAAAACCCTTTTAACAGTAAAAACAAACAAGCGGTAACAAACAGAACGGAAAATTAAAAAACAAGGAGTAAGTGGTAAAAATACTTGTAACAGCTATATTTGACAACAGGTTACTGCGCCTAATATATAAAGAGCTACAACAAATCTTTAGGAGTAATATATTTTCTACCCAGAGCTCTCTTTGGAAAATAAAACAGATTGGATAAACCTTCTGTGATGCCTCCCCTTTGATGTAACCGCCTGGAGTATAGTCAAATGGTGCTACCAGGACTACCAGAATTCTATGCTTTAGCTTGATGTAGTCCTTACTACTGGGTGGTGCAGAGATTGAGAGTGACTAAGAACTCAATGAGGACTGAGGGAGAATGTCCTGTAGGGCGAAATGAATACAGGATGGGTGGAAACACTGAAGAAAATGAACAGAGAAATACAAAAGCTATTTTTCAAGCCATACAGCACTCTGAGAAGTATGTCAAAGCATCTAACACACAGGGCCCGCAGTAGGCACTTCACTAAATGTACACTGAATTAATTTAAGCAGAAGCATGAAAGGACTTGAGATAAAGAGGCAGGACCTATTTCTAATAATAATTGTAATAATAGTTACAATAACAGTTAACTATATTATTATAGCTTACTAGATGCTAGATTTTTAACTTAGCTCTGGACATGGGTAATTTCATTTAATTCCCGTAACAACTCTGAAACATTTTTACTATTATTACCATTGTACAGATTCTGAAACTGAAGCCCAGGAGCTCTTTACCCAAGTTCACATAACTAGGAAATGGCTTATTGGTACAAATTTGGGCTGTGGACCTCCAGAGCCCACATCCTTACAGCTACACTGTATGCCTTACTGGCATCCCTCACCAGCAGATATACCACATGTGGTCTCAGTGGACTCAGGTCTGTGGCCCGTAGCCAGAGCATGGTTCTTAGTATAAAGGCTGCAGTTCCGAAATTCTACACAGGATAGTTGGATTCCCCAAGGGCCATGAAGTGTCAGATTAACTGGAAGGCTGAGAGATTAAATAATGAAAAGTTGCCACAAAATAAATGATCTTTTCAGCCTTCTGATCATTCTAATCCTAGTTTCCAGTGACCAAACTGCACTCTGTTTATTCAGATGGAGGCAGGCCATGGTGCCAAGCATTGTGCATTGCAGGGGAATTTGTTCATGAGGCCCTTTGATGTCTCATAAATCCCAGGAACAGCCGGCTGAAGCAGGCAGAGCTGCTTTGTGTTTATGCCTCTAAACAGAACCATTTGAGTACACAGACCAAAAGTCCTGGTCCGGGAGCACTGCGTTTTCTCCAATGGAGTGATTCATTGCTAATGTCTTCATTTTGGACACTGCAGTGGAATGTGAAACCATATGCTTTAAATTAAAAGCACACTAAGCAAATCACAAGTTTCTCAAGATGGTGCTTAAGTCTGTTTTGGCATCTGTGGGTTGCCAAAAGACCCATATGATCCTGTAATTAAACAACAGATATTTTCTGCAAAATCAGTCATTCTACCTGTCCCCAAATGCTATAATTATGATGTTTAGGTGCCACGTTGAGAAATAGATTGCACAACTAGACCTTTTAGAATTGTTTGCTCCCTACTCTGATCTTGTCCTGATCTGTCTCTAGCCATCTTATTCCAATTCATTGTATTAAAATGTGAATCTTTTTAGTTACATGAGTAACAAACAGCAGAACATAGAGCCAGAAATGTTGGCAAGAGAAGCACTAATAATAGATATAATAATATCTACTTGGCCAGAAGATTCATTCACCTTGAGGTTAATACTACAATCAGTTAGGGTTCATGAATGCAGTCATCAGACACGGAGACCGTCTTTTTCTTTTTTTCCCTAACCACTAGACAAGGTGGGAACAATTGAGACCGTCTTATGCAAAAATGGAACTCAGCGGAAGGAAGTCAGGGACTCATAGAATTGATGGGAGGGTAGAGAACCCAGCGAGGACAATAGGCAGGATTCAGGGGTACTCTGGAGGGCCGGACAATAGAAACAGGCCTAGCAGCTGTTGTCCTCCAACCTCCCCATTTCCTTGCTTGGCTGGCTGAAGAGTCTGGGAGGAGTACCAGCTTGGCCACGCCTCTTTTTTTTTGTTTGAGATGGAGTCTCACTCTGTCACCCAAGATGGGGTGCGGTGGCATGATCTTGGCTCACTGCAACCTCTGCCTCCCGGGCCCAAGTGATTCTCTTGCCTCGGCCTCCTAAGTAGCTAGGATTACAGGCGCGCCGCGCTGCCCAGCTAATTTGTTTTGTACTTTAGTAGAGACCAGGTTTCATCATGCTGGTCAGGCTGCTCTCGAGGCAGGGCCTCTTTTAAGGGTTTGTTCCATGGTGGCTCTGTAGTGAGAAAGAGACAACATGGAGCCTACTTCCCACCTAGACAGTGAGATTTCCCAAGGAAGACAGGGATGCTGAGAGTAAGGCAAGGTCAATGTCGGAGAGCCCAGAGTTCCCGCGCTACACTCCTGAAACGGCGATTCCCCAGCCCAGACATATTTTCCTGCCCAAGCAGAAAAATGTATGGACAGAAAACTAGCTTCATGAGGGTCAAGAAGAGGTGAAGATAGTACACTTAGGTAGAAGGGGCTAGGCTGCTCAGAGACTCGTGTTCTAAAGGAATCTAAGCTGATTTTCCAGGCCTGAGGCTGGTGACTCCTTCTGTTAAGAACAATGGCTTCTTTCACCTAATTCAGCTTGGAGGTTGCTTTCCACAAAATGCAACATTTCTTATCCCCTTAAAGGGCCTTCTCTAG